TCTAAAACATGGAACTCTTCGAAGTTTCCAACACTTTTTTCACTATTTCTTTTTGGCATTCATTTCGTTCTCTTTGTTTTCAATTCCAGAATTTATGGACATCAATGAGAGGATCTATTCAGGCTTACCTGCAGCTGCTGTCGACTTCAGGAGCTCATTCTGGCACAACTGGTCGTCAGGTCGGAGTCGTCGAAGTTGCCAGTGACGTCGTGGTTACAAAACGCCCGCGAGAGGTCACTGCTAGCGTCGAGCGTTGGTTGTCTCATTATCCCTCCGACAGAAACGAATTCTGTCTCGAATGTGGACTTCGCAAAGCTGTTGAGGTTAGTAATTTTTATGAATTTTGCAAGTTGAAAATTTTTTATGGAAAACATCAAGTATTTAAAGCAAGACTGATTTAGGTGCCGCCATTATTTTTATATATTTTATATACAATTTTCTGAGAACCAAGAACAATGAATGCCTCACATCAAAAGTCAAATCTCACAAGATGAATTTACTTGAGCATCCCGTTTCCACACCAATCACCTGATCTAATCTCCATAATACACCGTTTATTCACCATCTTTTCCCGAATGCACATCGCACCAAAAAATTGTAACAATATTGAAATATTCTCCGTAATCACCTTTCCAAACATCGGAGTGCGAATCTTGGGCAGAAATTAATCAAATTCTGAAATGTATTTCATAACGTGTTAGCAACTACTCCCAAACGCCCTCCGTAAGGCGTCAAGGCCTAACTTCAACCTAATAATGCCTCCCAAACCTCACAATTGAAGTTATCTAATCTAGCTTGACCTTCATAAATCGATTGCAATTTTGCGAATGAGCATGGGAAAAAAAGCGATGAATGAAAAATTGAGCGACCAGGGTTTTGCCAAAAAAAAAAATTTTTGACGAGCGCGTTTGTTCTTGTGAACAGTATTTTGCAAAGGGGAAGTAGATCTTGAATTTCGATGCTGATGATGAGACCTTGGGGAAAATAAATTGATTTCTTGGTTAGGGAGGGACGAATGCAAAAAATAATGAATAAAAATAAAAATAGATAAATGTTGTTTTCCATTGTCATGCCATAAGGAACGTCTGTAGTGTTTGCTTGCTGGTGCTCTATCTACGGAATACAGTACAGGATTCCAACGTGTGTAAAAGAGAGGGTATATTGGAGAATCGGTTGGAAATCAGAGAGGCCCAGTGCGTGAGATCCGTAGTGATTAGATCTGTAGTGAGCAAGTGACCTTGTCTGGGCCAGACTAACGAGATCCTTATCCCAGTGAACGTTGCTCCATATTTCCGGAATCAACGGTAACGAGGTTCTTCAGCTTCTACTGCTGTTCGTTTGGCCGAAAACGTGATGCTGACTCGGTTTTTCTGCGAGTTTTTCTCTTTCTCTCTCTCTGTGTGTGTTTCTTATTATGTTCTATTTTTATTGTTATTCCAAGTGTTTTTTTTCTTATTGTTTGCCCTTCTAGTTTTCCTTGAACAGAGAGAACTTGCTGATCGATCACTTGAAAAAGGGCAATTGCCGGGATTCAACCCGGTTGTTTGATGACGAATTACTCGACGGATGTCTTCAACCGTCTTCGAACTCTAGACTATTTTTTTTCTTAAATGTATGCTTCAGAAAATCAAATCAACAGTTCTATGCTTTTCAACTGATTTTCGGACTACATTCCTCCTGAAGTAAAGAAAAATTATTGTCCCTCTGTAATATGGACATAGTCCGAAAAATAAAATAAAATAAATCTATATTTCTTTGAATGTAGATATTTTCGACCGCTTTTTAAAGTAAATTCCTCTCGAGGGGAAAAGAATAACGTCATATTTTCCTTCTGCATGGGCCTAATTGAAAAATATAAAATAATCAAGAAAATAATTCTTCCAAAATATCGAGAAATCATTTCATATTATACATGTGAATGTTCCTCGTGTTGTCCAGCGTGAGTCGTTGATTCATTTTTTTTTAAATAGATAATAAACGTTATAAATGAGCGATGCATTTAATTTTGTGGAAGTTTTCAACAGTATTGCCACCGTGAAAAGGTCAAAGGATATTCAAACGATTTATAACTCAACATATTTTTTATTGTGAATCGGAAATTTTTTAGGCAGTAGGAGTGAAACAAAATGTAATCTAGAAAAAATTAAATGGCGAGTTAAACTCCCTGAGGCACTTTCATATTCCTCTGTAAGGACATGAATTGAAGTTTAGCTCTTTTGTGTAAATCCTGCATCAGTGTTTTATTTTTAGTTCGTTTTAGAACTGTGAATTGCGCTGCGAATTTACTTGGATACAATTCCAAGACCTCATTGTATAAGGTTCGCGTTTTGAATGTGTTGTAAAATAAAATTAATTTTGCTCATGAAGTATGAGAGGCACTTCCATTCAAGTTCTAATGCATCAAGCGTCCTTTGATTGTCTATCCGAGTCGTAGAGTACTTCATTATTCAAGTGTTTGTCAATGTTGATTCTAATCTTTTGAATAGTGTTGTGGATCGTCGACGTAATTGCCTGCAGGGGCCTTTTTAATGAATATTCTTTGAATTATGAAGAAGAATCCATTATAGCGACAGGCTCGTGAGTTCAGAGCATAAAGCAATGGAAAATATGGTGGGTACAATTTTGTTGATTTTAAAAATTGATTTTTATGCAAAAAATTCCTTTCTTGAAAGCTCCAATATAATTTAAAATGCGAATCTAAGACGCAGTCGAACACAGGTCATCGTCGGATACGCTAATTCACATCCAGACTTTTAATATGTGACGTTTAAAAAAAAATGAAAATATATATTTAACGTTGGATCATAAAAATGGCCGATTGCATCTTTTCTTGGTGATGGAGTCGGAGTTGATTTTTATGATTTAAAATTTTATCGTTGGTTATTCGCGTGTCTTGAGTTTTTCAGATAATCATCTTCATTATCCCAGAAGGCAAACCGTGTTTTTTGGCGAAAATATTGACTTTCTGAAAAGGAAATCGGTAATCGAGAGGATTTCTATAATATTGACAATGCGGGGGAGACAGAATATAATGAAAAACGGTGCGTGTGTTTTGGGAACAATAAAAATTATCGTATAATTTCCCATATGAATCCTGACCGGGGGAAATGAACAAAGAAAAGTATACATACTCGCTGAATATTTGGGGGGTTTGCTTTCCCAAACAGAAAACGCGGAAATGATCGTAAAAAAGGTTGGTACAAGCAGGGACATTAACCGCTTTTAAGCTCCGAGATGGAAATCAGTCCTGGTGGCTTTTCCTAATTCCCCGGGTCTGTTTTGACCCGTGCTGGGTCATGAAAAGGCCGAGATTTCCTTGCCGGATAAGCCCCGGCCCCACCTTCTCTCTCTATAGCTATGGCAGGAAATGCTGGGGAAATAAACCCCCTGTGAGAAATGTGAAAAAAGAAACGTATTCGTGAAATAAAAAAATAAAAAAAGAACGAAGGTTTTTCCCCTCAAGTCAAGTGTCACGCGATGACCTCACCGGATTTGTTTGAGGTCCCCCTCTCTCTTTTCGCGCGATCAGAATCGCTGAAGCATTTTTCATCGCCGATTACCATCTTTTTTTCCCCGTATTGTGACAGTGACCGATTTTTGCATATCGAAAAATGTGGAGAAGGATCCTTGCTCTTTTCTTTTCTTTCTTTTTTTTAAAGCTCAACCTTCGAAATCTATGGGAATTTCGCTTTCCATTCTTGACCTTATCATTGACTGGAAATCGAGAATTTCCCATCAAAACCTAGGCTCCTCTGACAGGGGAACATCAGAAGTTTGAAACTTCTTGCAGAAGCAACAGACAAATATAAATCAATGCAGCGAATAATTAAACGAAACATTTGAGGGGAAAAACCGTCATGAAATTAATTTCAAACTGCGGAAAGAGGCCCAGAAAAGCGGCGAAACAACATATAGTACTTTTCGGTAGCTTATGAAATCACTCGCTTTTCCGAAATATTATTGTATTTTGTGGTCTACCCTTGTCTCATTTCATTCTTTTTCAACATTTTCAATCTCCCGAAGTTTTAGAAAGAATCAAGGACCTGATGCTTTTCCATTTTGCGTCGCGGAGTGAATGATTGGGTTGAAGATTGAAATTTTGATGATTGAAAATTCAACTTCCAAAAGCTTATAAAAAGGGTGAAAGACCTGAAGGTTTTCCATTACACGTCGGAATGAATGATTGGTTGATGATTGAAATTTTCGTTCGATACCACTTAACATCTCTTGAAAGAGCAATTAAAGGTAGACGCCCTGGAAGCAAAAAACCCGAGGACAAAACCGTTCAGAATTCCCTTCTATCGCTTTTATTTTTTGTTCGAATTCAGAAAGTCAAAGAAAAAAAGAAACATGTTCCATTACTCGATAACTTCGAAACTAGATTAAAACGAGTCCGAGTCGTGAGCCTGGTTGCTGAATGCCCTCCGGCTAAGGTTCCTCTGCTTTCTTCGCTCGCTCTTTTCATGACTGGTCTGTCGGGAAGATGACTGAGAAACCTTTTCATATCACCCTTACATTCCTTCTTCTTTTTTTTTTTTCATTGGCATTATTATTTTCCCTCCTTCAAAGCATCAAAGAATTGAATCCGAATGAAAAGAAGCAGGATCAATGCGCTGGTAATCAACTGGTCGTTTGCGGACTTCGTGCTGCTTTAATGTGCCTCATCCGGGTGCTCGGAATTCTTTTTTTTTTTTTAGAATTGATGAAATAACCGTATCATAAAACTTTGGGACTGACTTTGCTGATTTTCCGATTTGGCAATTGTGATCATCGGCTTTGCGTGGGGTTCATTTTCGGTGTGGTTTGGCGTGAATTAATTGATGACGTTCCCGGGAGGAGCTTTTGTCATGATTAAAGCAGTCATACGGGTTTCCTCTCCCGAGCACAAGAGTATTAATCTCGGGCGTCTATTACCAGCATATACAGTATAGAGGAAAGCTTGAGGCCCGGGGTTCTTTCCTGGGCCCATGTATTTTTCCCCCCTCTGTATTTCAGTGAAAATGGGACATTTCAAAACTTGGGATAATTTTCTAGACTTTAAATTGCGAGCATTAATGTGTTATACTCATTTTTCAACTCATAGCGCGAAGGAGGACATACAGTATTTCTGCAGTGAGTCAGGTTTATTTTTGAGCAATAACATTCATGGTGACCAAGTGTATTTAAAATTGAGCCAAAATCCATCAATGCGGTGAAGGTTGGGATATTGTAATTTATGTACTGTATTTTTAAAATTGAAATTGTCCTTTTTATTCCTACCTTGATGAAAATCATGCTGGGAAAAATGTGAGTAGAGGATTAAATTAATTCAGATAATTTTTCAGAGTCATTTCTACTCGAAAAAAAAATTGTTTTCAAGATACTTACAGACATTTTTGATTTTTGAGTGGTTTGAAAAATTGAGAGCAGAGAAATAGATGTTTTTGTGACTCTCGTAGTCTCGTCTTGGTGAAAATCAGGTTGGAGAACAACGAATAAAATGAAATTGGATATTTTTGAAAAGAAATGTCGATGCATTGTTCTCGAGCTTTGCCATCAGCAAATTAGTGCGTCTTTTTAATTAGCTTGAAGTCCTGAAAAAATTGTCCATTACTGTATCTAAAATACAGAATATAAAAATATTCAAAAAATTGAGTTGGCAACTTTCAGGACCATCATTCCCATCTGGGGGTTGATTAAGTGTTGGGGAGGGTGGGAAAAGCATTTATTCCTCGCGGGGGTCGTGGCGGGGGTTTGCCCACGATTTTTCTGAGCTCGTTAATCAAAATGAGACCCCTGATGGAATCCAACCCGGTGTCTTGTTGCTGACGGGGGTTTCCTAATGAATTAATGCCAATGTGCTCTCGAACCGAACCGACCCCTACGACTCCTATTGCTCAATCTCACTTGCCTATGGCCACCTCATCTTACTGCTGTAAGAAACTTAGTCAAATTGTATGCTTCGAAAATTATTAGAACGTGACAATTCACCCCCGCCTGATTATTATTTTTTCATTGTGTTATGATGCATTTCCCTGCGAAATTTCGAGAGTTGACCTTTTTATTATTGTTTTCCGATCTGAAGAATGTCACGCGCGGAATTCCACACTATCCATCAATATTGCCGATCTTTCTTTCAATTATTCAAATCCCGAAGAGAAAAAAATAGAGACAGGAATGAAGAAAATCGATGAAACCGGACCTTGAGAATTTAATTCTCTCAAGGAACATTCGAGACACATAAACACGGGGGAAAACGCACTTTTCTTTTGGGTAACGGGAGGCGTGTGATTCTACCTATATTGGATTAATTTAATTCCCAGTGATTTTCGTGTGAATTGAATAACTTTTCATGAATGCATTCGCATTAAAAGATAATGCGGGCGTGAAGAGGTTATTTTTTCCTGGCACGTGCTTCGAACGACACGCAACAAAACCACTGGGACACGCGTCGGCTCTGAGTCGATTTTCTAGCCGACTGCTTTTTTGCATCGAGGAAGTTTGCGGAAGAGACACAACTTTTTTCGTTGTTGCTGTTTCAGTAAGTGTCAAGCCTTGGAAGAAAGGGCTGAATTTACTTCCTGGTTATGAAACGAACGTTGATGGTGAAACAGTTGAGTTATTCACGATAAGAGTCAAACACGAGTCGGAATTTTTGATTTTGCCTATACAAACTATTTTTCTTCTTCCGCGGAGGTTTCATGCATTAAATTAAATAAGCAAAATTTATTTGTTTTTTTTTAAGTTGAATATTTTGATGTGATGCAAATTATATTTTCACTAGATTTGTAAGCTCTTGAGCTTGCGAATCGGGGTTTATTTTCATTATTTTCGATTGATTCATCATTTCCCTGAAGTAAGTTCCTCTGTGTTTGAATATTTTGAAGAAATACTTGTACATTGAAACTTGCAAAATTATTCACATTTTCTCCTTTCAAATCTTAAATGTTCTGAAATTACTGAGAAATAAAGTTTTTCCGGTATATCTGTAATTTTTTCAAAACCCGCATAATTTCTGAGACGAAATTTTTCTCGATTATCCCTTCCACAAAATTGAAATTATTTTCACAGTTTTCAAGTTATTTTCGTTTATCACGCCGCCGTCATTGTTCTGTAAATAAAAAAATCAGTTGAGAGAGTCGGGTCAGTCACACGTTGGGTCACGGAATTTCAGCACAAAATTATCCCGCGTCTGTCGCATACCGAAGCAGTTGTCATTTTTTTCCTCCTGTCTCCATGGGATCCTGTTGAAAAATTCACATGTGTTAGGGAGGGGGGAGGGGGGTTCTTAGGGAAAAAAACGAAACAACACGCTGTGTGCCCTACTCTAAAGAACGGGGACCCGGAGCAGGGCGTTGGTCGCGGCGGCAGCCAGACTAATTACTGCGAGCTGTGTAGTAAGGAGTAGGCGGGCCGGTTGTCCCGGGAAATAATGATTCCGACATGTAAGCAACTTCGGGTGGAACCCTACAAAAATGTATAAAAAAATAAAAAGAAGAAGAAAAAAGAGAGAAGGCTACTAGAACAATGTCGACGGGGAAAAGGAAACAATGCGACCCTGGCCACTCACTCTTTCTCCGAGTGGGACACTCAAATTTTATTTATTTTTCCCTACTCCATTAAATGTTCACTTGCATATAAAATCTGCAGAAAATGCATCATGTGATGCATTTGCGAGTGAGTTTGTATTTGTGCACAGCCTCGCGCAAATTCTAGGGATAATTTCGCGAATAGTTTTCCGGAGAAAAGTATAGGACTGTCCCGGGAAATTTAAAATACGCCTGGGGACAATAACAAGGAGAGAGAGGAAAAAAAGGTATCCCTTGTGTCGAAATTCAGAACTGACCCTGGAAGGACACGACGCGATTAATGGTTGCCTGTCGAAGATGCAGTTGTCCGATCTCGCTGGGGATTCACTTATTTTTCTTTTCAAAAAATTTTTTGTTGGTTTGTCATTTGTTGTTGTTGTTTTACTCCCCCCCCCCCTCTTCCTCCTCGTATAGTCGTCGTGTCACTTAGCTTCCTTCCTGTCCGAGGCCAGGGATAAATGAAAAAGACCGACCGAGGAAAAATAGTTCGCTCCCAAAGTGGATCGGAAGAACACAAGCTCAATCTCTGGACTCCATCTCACAGAGCTGATGAACTTTTTTTTTTTCTTCTGACCGTTTATTTTATCTTTAAATACGGTATTGGGTTCCGACTTATCGACTTCATTTTCCATGGGTTCGAATGTTCTTGGGTGTGTGAAAGAATATTGTGAAGCATTTTTTTAAATACTTTTTTCCCCTCAGAAAGCTTTGAAAACCCCGTCTCTATACTCTCAGAAATTCTCTGAAAACGTTTAGATTTCGAGGAAATTTCTTCATCATGAAAAAAGAAGTGTCCGCTTAATTAAATCGGCCCTCTGAAATCGACATCCCGCTTCAATTTTTCCACGGAACAAAAAATAAAAAATATCCCTGCAATGTACAGGCGTGAAGGAATAATTTACAATATTTCTAAGAACACGTGTTCCGTCGGAAATTTAGAAAGACAAACTCTCAACTTCCTAAAATTCTCGGAAAACGTTTAGGATTTCTAGGGAATTTCAACATCATAAAAAAAGGAAGTGTTCGCTTAATTAAATCGACCATCTGAACTCGACATCCCACTTTAATATTTTCACTAAAAAAACTATCTTTGCAATTTACTGACGACATCTTGACTTGATACACGTGTGCGAGTCAAGAGCCCACGCGGAACCTAATCAGCTCTCACGAACTCGGAAATGATCTTCGCTTATTTGTTCATGGATTCAATACTCGACTTCCTGTATATTAGCAGGAAATCGATTTCGGGGCTGGAAACCGGAACTGGGTCACACACAAAAAAAAACACGTGAACTATGCAGAGTGAAAAATTAGGCAGGAAAAAGTCCCCGGGAGCCCGATTAGCGAATTGATTTTTCGCCAACCACGGGTCTAAGGAGCCTGGGAAGTGGAGTAAACTGTCTAGTACCACTCACTTGAAAAGAAATACGTATACATATAAAAATACCTCGCGAACAATCGCCTGAACCCCGGAAGAAAATGAATTATTATATTAAAAAGAAAAGGCAAGGAAAAATATATAGAATGCAACAGGTAGCCGAAAAACGCGATCCTCGGGGTCAACGCAAGGTCGCACGAAAGCCCGATTTCGTGTGAACTATGCCTGGCTGTGGAGGGAAAAAGAAATAGGTCGGACCGATTAGCCAGTGGATCCGTGACTGATTTTTGGCTTTCTTCCCTTCCAACCAAAAAAAATAATAAAAATATCCCAAATAAATTGGCGTGCATAAAAATAAAAGAGCATGTTCCAGCAGACGAGAGACACCAGCGTGTGTGTGTGTGTGTCTTTTTTTTCGAGTGGGGCGGAAGAAAACCGCAGAAAGGCGCCGCGATGACACCTCAATGGATTCCTTCCCTTTTGGCAGGACGGAAATTGCGGCCCATCGCGTGTAAAGTCGATTGAAAGGCCCCTGTGGAGC